TAATAGCATTCATACTTTAAGATTTGATGTCCAAATCGTTTTTGGAGCCACCGTAAATCAATTTTGTTATGTAATATGCAATGCAATCATTCATCTAATTTTTTTTAGGCCAAATTAACTGCCACTCTTGAGCAAGTGTGTGATAAGTTGCCTCCCCAAATCTCTCAAATCTGCCACACTGAGGTGGAAAAGATGCTTCCTCTGGCCATCACCTTCATTTCCAGCATGATGGTACGGTATATAGTTAGATTAAAACATGCATTTGATCTATAGGACATTGTATTGTTTCGGTTCATATTTGGTTGAGAACCACTGCTGTTTATTTTACTGCTAATCCCATCAATCTCTCACTTCAGCAACCCAGTGACATCTGTGCTTTTCTTGGAATGTGTGGAGGACGGGACAGTACCAAGATTAGAAATCTGTTGCTTAAGCACATGTCAAAAACTGTACCAGTGACAACTATGAAGGTAACATGTAGAGGAAGTGATTTAGATGCTGTTGTTAGCATGTTCTGCACAGCGGACTAAGTTTCTCTGCTCTCTAACACAGATAGAGACGTCCATTCAGTGCTCTGTTTGCACATACGTTGTGAGCACACTTGAGTATCTGTTTCCCAGAGAGAGGACTCAGGTGAAAAATCACATTACACATGGGCAGAGTTCAGAATAATAGCATACTTCTTACTCAATAGTGTGTAGTATACACTGCTTGCTATCCCTTGTGAAAAAGAAGTGTGCTTAATTGTATTCAGTGTGCACTTGTAGTGTACTTAAAATCTTTAAAGTGTTTAAAAAAAACAAACAAACTGTACTTTCAGATAATATAATATTAATAAAATAAAAGGCTACTTAAGTGCACTTAATAAGTACACTTTAATGACTATGTTTCTTAACAAACTTCAATACACTTTTAAAAAGTGCATTTTGTAATAATGCCAGATTATGTTTTACTTTAAATTATATTCTAAATCATTTTTAATAATCTTTTGTCATGCTTTAAAGAAGTACACTTCTTTTGAAGTGTTGACTGACATACTAAAGCACATGTATAGTACTTGATTATAATTTTAACTGTAGTGTGATATTCAATATTACATTTAAAGTTAATATATTTTAAA